AAAAAAAAAAAAAAAAAAAAAAAAAAAAAAGTGAAAATTTTCCCATCATATGCCAGATCTGATTAGAGAACAACCAGTTCTGATGAGACGTGAAAGGCCCAGAGCCAAATCCAAACCTGATTCAACGGTGTATCCTACACAGCAAGAAGTACAGAGCAGATGCTAAATATCTACTGAATTACCCACCACCCACCTAAAAACACAAAACCAACCAAAACTCCCCCAACAACTAAGAACATATTAGCACCCCATATTGACACAGAGATAGGAGAGATATAGAACATGTTCATCCCGGAAGAAAGTTCTCTAACCAGCGCCATACTGGAGCAAAGCTTCCCAATCAACGTGGGGAAACACAAATCCCTCCAGGCCTGGGGCTGAGCAGCGGTGCGTCGGCTGCCCCCCGCCCGGGCCCCAGGCCGTGAGCAGCCTGGCCCTAGACCTCCCGTAATCTTCTCAAGCTTTGTCACTCAGATTTCAACCAATGTCCGCTCCAGGCGGGATGACGGCTCCCAGTTAAAAGAATAAGAGGCGCCGGCGGAGAGTCGGGCCGACTTGGGTTCAAATCCCTGCTCTGTCACATCCTACCTCTGGGACCTTAGGAGGTTCCCTATTCGACTTGCTCCTCTGTAAAATGGGGATAATAAAAGTGTTTACGTCACAGTGTTGCTGTGAGATAAAGTTGGACAGAACAATAGGTCTTTCGTTCAACTTGAAAGTGATGCAAGTAGAGGGCGCTCCATGGGACGGCAGTTATTTGCAGATGATGAGTCTGAGGCTCGGCTGCCTGGAGAGCAACGCGGGACCTGTGACTCCGGCCCCGCGGCCAAGTCGGCTCCTTCCGGGATCCCCGATGTTCCTGCCTTCCCCGCCCCCACCCTCACCAGCAACCCCGAAAGAGCGTGGATTCGGGAGACTCAGCCCCGACAGTTGGGGCCGTCGGGAGCGGCCGAACCTCCTCAGTCAGCCGGGTTCCAGGCCGGCCCGCAGCCCATCTCGTGGGGCGTCCCGGGGCCCCGCGTCCATTGACCCAGCCCGGGAAGTTATCGCGGAGCCAGAAGCCCAAGGTCTGGGAAGAGGCAAGCGCCCACCTCACCTGAAGCCGGAAGGACGCGGTCAGACTCGCGAGACCCCCGGAGCAGCTACAGTCTCCTTAGAAGAACTCTCGCTGGACTGGCGCCAACAACCACTTCCGGAGCAGCTCAATCCGCCAGCCTGAGTTGCGGGCTCGGCCTGCTCCTATTGGGCAGCAGTCCCTGTCTGCGGCCAATACCCTCTCTTCTTCTTTCTTTGGTCGCCCCTGGCTGAAACAGCGGCGCTCTCATTGGCTGATCCTTCGTAAACGGACTAGGCGGGACCACGCTCGAGGAGGCCTCGTACAATTGGTAGAAACCTACGTCCGTCAACTCTCGCCCAAAGAGAAAAGCGGAAGAAGGGTTTTACCGCTCTTTATTTGAATTTTGTGGCGGTAGAAAGTGGAAAGAGAAAGATTTCTTGGTCCATTTTGAAAAGATGAAAATATTAAAACTGTGCCTCATGCTATTTCTCCCTAAGTCTTTGGTGAAGGAGATGTCTTTATCCAAAGGCTGGTAGCTAATCCAATAATTTCAAACTGTTGCCCGCAGTATCCCGGAGCCGGTAAAGAGGAGTGGCACAAACCTGTTCATATATTGTATACCCTCCAGTGGGTTGAAGAGCTCATGCAAAAGAACTTACCTACGCGGTCTCTTCAATCCCAAACCACTGCAACAAACTGCCTGCTACTAAACTACGGTCACATCACTTGACAGCAAACATTTTTCAAGCATTTCCCTGAAAGACGAAATCTCACCTTTAGGAGGAAGACCTAAAAATCTAGACCTCAGGCACAGACTGCACACTGCCAAATTTCATTTGCTCAGCTTCCAGTTCTGAGTGGAACTAGTGGCAGAGGAGAGTGTAGACAACTGAAAGCCTTGGATGATCCAAATAATTGACTTTTCAATATTCTCCTCCTCCAAACCTGTCACTAAAGTGAACACTAGCATTTGCAGTTTTTTTTTTCCTTTTCCTGCCCCTAAGGGAGCTTCTACTGAGCTATAGCAAGGTTAATATGAGGAAAAGGAATGTTATTTTGTAAACAAATACATATATTATGGCATAGAATGAAAAACATTTTGAGTGATTCTCACTGTTATATAAGTAACTGCATGTCCAATGCAGAAAATTTAGACAATACATAGAAGCAAAAAAGAAAAATCGTCTCCAGAGAAGTCATTAGTTACTTTGTTTAAAATCGTCATCTATCTAAATGTGTACATTTAGGTATAGATGGAATTGTGTTTTAATCTCAAAATATATCTTGAATTGCTTTCCTTGTCAATGAATACATAGGCACATCCTCAAACACTGAGTGATTCTTTGAAAATTAAAAAAAATTAGTAGGTAATATCACATGGCAAAAAAAATCTGGAAAACACAGAGGGCTGCTTAGTGAAAAATATACAGAATGTTTCTAAAAGGTTCTGAGAGTATATTCATTCATGATCCACCTAATGGCCATGTTTACTAATTAGAAGAGAAAGAATAAACACACAAGCCAGAAGGTTATAGTCTTGTCTCCAACTTCCAAAAGTTTTATATAGTTAGAGGAGAAAGGTATTAGCTGTATTTCATTTTAGGGGTGAAATTCCCATTTACAACTTTATGGGTGATTACTTAAACACCAACCCCCCGTTGGCTCATTTGTAAAAAGACTGAAAAAATAATGCACTAAGCGCCACTTCATAGAAGAGTTGTTTAGATGGATGTCTTTTTTTTTCCTCCACCAAAAGACATAACTAATGGGTTCCCCTAAACTACATGATAGTAACTACTTTTATGGACCTGAACGTATAATGTAAATGAAAAATTTGAAAGAACTGTCAAGGTTAAAATATGCCAAAGAAAGTTTACACTTGTGGTAAGCCTCATCCCCAGGCTCTGGGGAAAGCCATGAATTTCCCTCTACCATTAGCAGTACCTTCATTCATTCATTTTCTAGTTCATTCGGTCAACAAATATTGGAGTAGCCACTGTCCTACTCCAGGAGAGGAATGTGAAGGCAAGGGACTCATAGGTGGTTTCTGAGTTTGTGGCAATGTTCTAGTCTTTAACCAGGGGTGGATATGTGATGTTCTTTTCCTCTGACTTAAAAAAAATTGCACATATATATTTTATACACTGCTGTACTGTGATACATATCACAATAAAGATAAGAAAAACATTATTTTGTACCTTTGAACTCTGTAGCAACTTCAGTGGAAACACTTCCCCAATCCGGGGATACTGCCCGTGAATCATGTTCTCTTGTGTCTGGAGCTCTGTGGAAAGTCTGAGAAATTTGGATCTAGAGTGGAAGAGGGAGACATTCCCAGGGAGGGAGATGGTGTAAAGAAGTGCAGGAGCAGCTGATAACCTGGTGAAATAAAAGTCTGAGTATAGGGCTTCCCTGGTGGTGCAGTGGTTGAGAGTCTGCCTGCCGATGCAGAAGACGTGGGTTTGTGACCTGGTCCGGGAAGATCCCACATGCCGCGGAGCGGCTGGGCCCGTGAGCCATGGCCGCTGAGCCTGCGCATCCGAAATTACCCCCAGAATGTTGATAAAAGAGAAGGAAGGGAGAGAAAGAATATAGGCTGGAGTAATCTGCCTTCGCAACCCATTTTAGACTAAACAATGCCCTTAGGGCTGTGTGTCTCAACTCCTGTGCTATTGATATCTGGGCCCGATAATCTTTGTTGTAGGGGGCTGTCCTGTGCCTTGTAGGATGTTGAGAAGCTTCTATCCACTAGATGCCAGTGGCATGTCCACCCCGCCCCACCTCCCCTGAGTTGTGACAGCCAAAAATGTCTTTAGATAGACATTGTCAAATGTCCCCCGAAGAGCAAAACAACCCCTGGTTGTGATACATAAGGAAAATCTTTCACAAATGTTAAGTAACACATGTGGCCCATGCTCTTTAGACCAGAAAAAGCTCTACCTTTAACACAGGGCCTCCTGGAGGGCTCATATGCACAGCAATCATCAATGATCTCCTGTAACTGTGAAGGGCAATCTTTGTCCACTGGCTCCTGGTGCCGGTCCATAGCCACCAGCTGGTAGATCTTCTTGGAATCACAGCCTGGCATGGAAATGATAGGATGGGAGGCTTAAAAATTGCTCTGGCACACACACATCTCTCTGGATGCTGATGGCTGGCAATGGAACCAGGGACTTTGAGAACTGAAGAAACAGAAGCTTCCAATGACCCCAATGACAAGCGCAGGCAATGCCCACAATAAAGAACAAAGCGCCCAGGACAGCACTGATGGGAATCTCTAGTATCTTGGAAGGCGACCCAATCCCAGCACCATCTGAGCCAACTTTCACACTGGTTACCTTCAAATGGGCTTTTCCCAGTGGCAACTTCCCAGAGGACGATTCCAAAGCTAAAAGAGAACCAAGAAACTGAACAACCGTAACAAGTTTCCCCTTTTCCCATGCCCCTCTAGCCATTTCCAGAAAACACAGTGGATTTTCTTTTTGGCTGTGCTGAGCAGCTTGTGGGATCTCAGTTCCCCAATCAGGGATTGAACCTGGGCCACAGCAGTGAAAGCGCAGAGTCCTAACCACTGGACCACCAGGGAAGTCCTCACAGTGAATTTTCTGATTACCACCCAATTCCATTCAACAGAGTTAAGGTGCTCCTCCCTAATGGCATTTGACTTGGACTTTCTTGTTCCGTTCATCTGAGTTAGAATGTGCTCGAGAACATAAACATACCTGTATATTTCAGCTTTTATGTCATATTTATTATACACATTTTCCAGTCTCTGAGGTGAGATGTATGCGGCAGAATTGACTCTCTCTGCTTCTTTTCCTTTAGTTGGTCAGCTGATGGAAGTCTGTGGTTTGCTCAACTCAAATCCTGCAAGCTAGATAAGGAATGACTCAGAGACAGAAAGAAACAGCACCATCTCGGGTGGGGGATAGAAGGAAGGGGTTGGTGCTACACATGATTTTCAGGGGATGGTTTTTTTCCTTTGGGATGTATTTCCAGTGGTGTCTTCTGGCTCTGTGGCTACTCTCCTGGCTGGCATCCTGGGTTCAATTTATTATGGTGTAACGACCAAGAGAAACACAAAGAGGTTTCTTCTCTATAAAATGGGGCATAAGGATTACTTGAGGTGATGGTTATAAAGCACCTGTAAGACTTGGTATGTTGTTGTTCTAGTGTTACTATGTTAGATACAGGGCTTTCTCAGTTGACGACTCAGCTCCACTGAGTGAGTGTGGACGGGGTGCCTGGAGTCACACCGATGGCTCATTTTCTCTCGGAAGCAGACAAAAAAAACACAAAAAAACCAACACAGGGGTATCCTCTCTGTTGTATCTGAACCTATAGGCAGCCTGTTACCCCACTGACCCTGCACGGTCAATGCCATGCTCTTAAAGAAGCCACAGCACAAGTCATGGGAGTGTGCGTTCCCCTTGGTCCATGCACGTCTGTCATCAGCACCATCCATGTGCAGAGGGCTGCCAGGCCTAAACGCAGCCAGGGATCCAAAACTAGGGGCAAGGTCAGGAAAAGGATTAGACACTTAGGTGGCTCCTCCCCCTTTCAGTCACATGTTCAGTGAGCACTGACATCCTCTGACATCTGGCTCCATGCTAGCCACCAGGGGTGAAAGGCTGAACAGCACATGTTACTGTCAGGTGTGAGAAGGACCGTGCTTTGTGAACACTTACATTACACCAGCTACGGGGAAAGACATCTGAAAGGCAGAAAAGACCCGTCTTCTGTTATTCAGAGAAAGCTATCTGTGGATGACAGAGAAAATATTCTTTTAGCATTTGGGAACTGTGGACATCAAGTTAACAGAACACTTTTCTCTTCCATAGGAGAATCTGAATTTCAGTGGACCTTTTAGCTCTATTCCCCTGGGAAACTGACAGAAGCTGACTGTTACCTATGCTCCTAAGTAATATTGCTGCTGATTTAAAAATGATGGGTGATTAGTAAGTTGTTTATGGACAAGAGGTCGGGGGGATGGGGACTATAAAGAGCTATAGGGGGACTTCCCTGGTGGTCCAGTGGTAAAGAATGCGCCTTCCAATGCAGGGGATGCGGGTTCAATCCCTGGTCGGGGAACTAAGATCCCACATGCCCTGGGGTAACTAAGCTCGCACACCACAACTACTGAGCCTTTGCACCTCAACTAGAAAGTCCATGTGCCACAACTAGAGAGCCCACACACCGCAACTAGAGAGAAGCCTATGCACCACAAGAAAGAGCCCGCATGCCACAGCAAAAGATCCTGCATGCCTCAACGAAGATCCCGTGTGCCGCAACTAAGACCCGACGCACCCAAAAAAGTAAAGAAAATAAATAAATAATAAATCTAAAAAAAAGAAAGAATATTGACTCCTGTGAGTCGTGAGGCTTCTAAGCCTGGATGGCCCCGCACCCACCCGAGGGGAGCCTCTTTCTGTCACACCTAGGATGAGGAGAATATCTCCTGGAGGATTGTGGGGACAGGTGTGGTGTCTCCGGCTGGAGAGAAGGATTTGATGCTGCCCTGCTGGCAAGCTGTGTTGCGTGATACCCTTCTAATTGCCTCCAGGTGCCAAGTGTGGGCTATGGCTGGCCTATGAGTCTGAATGCCTACCTGGGCTTAAGAAGATCCCCTCATGGGTGTTGCAGGGTCACAGAAGTGGTGTCCAGGCATCTAAGGGGAAATGGATCTTAACCCATCCCTGCTGAGTGCCTGGGCAGTGGTGGACGATGGGCATCAGAAGAGCAGGCAGGACTGAGTCTGTCCTGTCGTGGGCACACGGGAAGCTGTCCAGGCAGAGGAAGAGTTGAACTCAGTTGAAGGCAGAGAAACGAGCAGGCACAGGCCTCTGGGAAACGTGTGTCCCTCTCCCAGCACCAAACAGTCACACAGGTCGAACTCAAAGGGCCCCTGGAAGGCCACACTCACCTTCACAATGCAGTCTTTAGTCACCAGGAAGCTCGTGCTGCTGACGTTTCTGTGGAGTTCTGCAGGTGTTTCCGAATGGTGCAGCCTGACACGACCAAAGGCAGGGAACATTCGTGACCTTTGCACAGACTTTGCTATCCACGGGTAGGTGGGAAAACCAGGATGCAGAGGTGAGATCTGACAATTGTGAGCTGTAGGCCTCTGTGGTGCTCTGTCTGGGAAGCACTGAGCAAAGCAAAGGGCTCAGAGGCATGGCTGGATGGTTGGACCATACCTAGGACCCTTCTGGTTGAAACAGAATGTGAAGCTGGGGTTCCCACCAACTCAGTGTTAAGTGTTTTGGATTAATGGAGCCCCTGCCTCCCAGTTTGGGGTGTTATCATAGAGTTGGCCTTAGGTTGGGTTCTCCCAGAAGCAGATCATGAGCCACGGATTTGGGTACAAGTGATTGATTAAGAAGGTATTCCCAGGAGAAACCAGGTGAGGGAGTAGAGGAAGCAGGACAGAGAAGGAGAAGAAATCAAGCAAGGGTGTGGCTTCAGGTGAAGTTCCAGCTCAGCCTGACCCCACGGGGACCTCTAGAGGATAACTACCCCTCAGGGTTTGTTCTGCACGAAGCAAAGGAGCTGGACTTTTGTACTCACACCTGTTGTTCAATGACTGTGGACTGGCGGGGAGAGGAACAGGGACAGGGACAGGTGGCTATAAAGCTCCCGGGCACTTTCAGCTCTCAGGGCCAAGGGGCCCCAGCGCCCATGGATATTCCTCTGCAGATGGCGGCCATGAGCTGTTAGCAGCAAAGTATGCTGAGTGGGGGATGAGTGTGCAGAGCAGGTAAAAAGGATCAGAGGCCATCTGGATAGGCACTAACAGTGTCTCCTACAGTCCAAAATTACTTCTCATAAAACTCACTAGTGTAGGGAGTTGAGAAAGAATAAACTTTATGATTTCCAAGAAAGAGCTAAGGCAGTATTTCCAAAAGTATGGATAAGTGGTATGCAAGATGACAGAGTGAGAAAATTATGCTTCTTTTAATTCCAGTCTTTCCAATTATGCCAAGAAGAAAGTCTCAGTTTGGTGTTGGATGTCTTTAATACCTCCCTAAATCTGCTGACATCTCCTCTGCACAAAGACAATGCCGGTCTGAATTGCAGGCCTTTGGGCAGGAGGCATCATGCAGCCAGAATTTAATAACATTGTTTTGGTTTTATTTGTGGTCACCTATTTGTGATAAGTGATTCTCGTCTTCAATTTATGGTAGTAATAGAAAGTTTCCTTTTTTATTTTATTTTATTTTTATTTATTTATTTTTAATTTCGTGCTGTACGTGGGCCTCTCACTGTTGTGGCCTCCCCCGTTACGGAGCACAGGCTCCGGACGCGCAGGCTCAGCGGTCATGGCTCACGGGCCCAGCTGCTCCGCGGCATGTGGGATCTTCCCGAACTGGGGCATGAACCCGTGTACCCTGCATCGGCAGGCGGACTCTCAACCACTGCGCCACCAGGGAAGCCCAAATCTAAAATTCTTATCAGGCCTACCAGGACCTGCATGACCTTGCTCCTGTATCTTCTGGCCTACCTCCCCACTTTAATCTGGTATCTCTCCTTCACCTACCACACTAAAGCCATCCTGGCTTCTGGCTGCTCCTTGCACATGCCATATTTATTCCCACCTCAGGGCTTTTGCATTCATTGTCTTCCCGGCCTGGAATGGGCCTCTCCCTCAACTTCACATGACTCACTCCTTTTGATTATTCAAGGTGTCCATTCAAATGTCACCCTGACCACTCTCGCTGCACCCACTGTCACTTTCCGTCTCATTACCATGTGTACGATTTTTATTGCCTTTAGATAAAATAATTTACTTAGCCCTCTATCTGCAGACTTTATGTTCCATGAAGGCAAAGACCTTGTGTATTTTGCTCTGTGTTGAATCTCCAGCACTTAGAACAGTACCTGGCACATGGTACTCAATTCCTGTTTGTTTAGATAATTAGTGAATTTTTCTTCCTGGATAATTTACATATTAATGGAAGGTCCTGGAAAAACTAAGGCTGGGAGGATTGACATCAAAGAGAATGTAAAGGGAAACACGACTCATCAGTATCACCCCCACCCCATCACTGGTGGCACACTCAAATCTCATCAGCCCCCACCATGTCTGTACCCAGGGATGTCTGCAGCTCTGAGTTACATGAATAGACACACCTGCTAAAACCTCTTCAGCCTTCCTGATTTTTTGGTAAACCAAAATGAGACTAATATACCCCCATTTGGAGTCCCCCCATCTAAAAAAACTCCTTACCACTTCTCAGTCCTTGGATAACATTCCTGTCTTCCTCTGCATCCTATTCATCTTCCTGTTGCCAGAATGCTCCTGGGCTGATGCTTGAAAATATGCATCCGTTGATCCACCTGAAGCAGCAGTGAGAACTCCTCCCAGACATCTCTCAGCCTCTTGTTCACTCCACTGAAGAGTATTCTGTCATGCCCTGCTGTTAGAAACATCTGGATATTGGATTTATTGCTGAACTTATCTATCCACTCCTTAGGTTTCTTTAGGGCAGCCTGGAAACGTTTCAGGGCAGTGGTTATCTCGGTGGGCAGGTTCCTCTCTCCTTGGGCCTGGAGCATTTGCAGAGGCTGCAGCAGGCCATGGACATGGCTCCTTAGATGCCAGCACTGTTTCTGGCAGTATTTCATCTCTTCACACTGGTTGTAGATAAGCTGGACTAAGGAGATGATCTGCCTCAATTGATCCATATCTGGAAGAAACAGATGGAATTCGTTTAAGTCCCAGGAATCTCCTGCATATTTACTACTGGGCTAAGGGTGTCTGTGATTTAAATGGCTGTAGAGGTCTCCCCATCAATTTCATGTAACGTAGAGATGGCTTGCTGTCCACCGAAATCTTCCAGTTTTAGCTGGAAAGTGTTGGCCCAGCTAGGACTACATCTCCCAGCCTTCCTTGCACCTTGATGTGGCCATGTGACTAGTTCTCACCAATAGGGTGTGAGTAATATAAGTGTTACTTTGGGCTGAGTCAGGTTTGTCTCCTTTACACACTGTCAGCTGGTTACACAGGATGATGTAGCCCTAGGTGTGGTAGAACCCAAGAAGGGAGGATCCTGGATCCCGAATCATCACTTGGAGGAGAGCTGCTCATAAACCTGGAATATCTGCCATGGACTAAATTTCTATTGCATTTGAACCATTATATTTGGGGGTCTATTTATTAAATAAATTTAGGCTATTCTAACAAATATATCCTGCCAAAGTATAGGGGTGACTATAGGATAGTAGGTTGAAAAGCTCAGGCCCTTTCTAAAGAAGGCAAGGATTACCTAGTAAGTCACCAACTCTTCAAGGATAAAGGGCCCAGTGGTGGAAGGTCTTCTAGTTTTTAAACAGCAATCAGAAATTTGGATTTTTATGTTAAATCTCTCAATTTAAAATATTGCAACCAAGTCAAAAAATGTTTTAAAAACTGTGCAGTCCAACACTGTGTTGGTCAAATAAAATATGTTTGTCAACTGGATATTGCCCATGAAGCCTCCGTTTACTACCTGGGCCACAGCTGGCTGAGGATATTCAGGACTGGAATAGAAGTTGGCTTCTGCAATCTCAAATTTTCTTTTCTGTCTCTTTTCCCAGTGTTTGAGCAGCCCTGCCTCCCTGGTCCTCACCTCCATCCCTCTCTACTGTGTTTTTAGCACTCTGTAAATTTGTTCCAGCCTCCCCATTGGCCGATGCATCAATAAGCCTTCATGTTGTAAGTGCTGACGCCTTAGAGGCATTTGCACTTAAGACTAAGAGATTTTTCAGGCCCGGAGGAGTTGAGGTAGACATCTGTGTTGCCTACACAGCATCCATTTCTCTACTTCCTATTGTTGCCCAAATTTTCTGTGACTACCTGCTCCTCGTCCATTCAGCAATCAGTTTGTGGGGAGCTGGCCCCACCCCTGGTTCTAAGGGTGAGACTTGTATCTAAGCTAGTGGTTCTAAACTGAAGGTGACTTTGCACACGCCCCCCACTCCCTGCTGGGACTTTTGGCAATGTCTGGAGACATTTTTGGTTGCCACGGCTAGGGGGTGGGTGTTATTGACATCTAGAAGGTAGAGGTCAAGGTGCTACGATGCATAGGATGCCTCCCACCCTGCCCCGCCAACAAAGAATGATCCAGCCCAAAATGTCAATAGTGCAGGGGTTGAGAAACGTTGATCTAAGCCATCAGACGATTCCTAGTAGCTTATCACAGTGATTGGTTCAAAACTGGGCACCTGGGCTACTTTGAGGGGTACGTTTGCTGGGGAACTTCCTGGCTCCCCTAAGCCAGCCCAGGAAGTCAGCTTCTAACTCTCAACCTCTCTCTGAATATGAGTGAGAAAGCGTGGAGCCCTGATTCTAAAGCTGTGGAATGAGGCTAACCTACAGATGGCAGAACGGAAAGAAAAGAATGAGTCCTCAGTGACAACATTGAGCCACTGGTGGTTTGAACTGACCCTGAAGTCTACCCCATTCCTCAATTACAGGTTTCATGAACCAATAATCTTCCTTATTGTTTAAGCTCATTTGAATCGTGTTTGCTGTACTTGCAACCAAAGGCAACTGTGTTCAGTAATGAATGATGATAATAGAGATGATTATTACAGGCTAAGTGCTTTGGAACTCACTGTGGTATGTCTGGAGACATTTTTGGTTGCCACGGCTAGGGGGTGGGTGTTATTGACATCTAGAAGGTAGAGGTCAAGGTGCTACGATGCATAGGATGCCTCCCACCCTGCCCCGCCAACAAAGAATGATCCAGCCCAAAATGTCAATAGTGCAGGGGTTGAGAAACGTTGATCTAAGCCATCAGACGATTCCTAGTAGCTTATCACAGTGATTGGTTCAAAACTGGGCACCTGGGCTACTTTGAGGGGTACGTTTGCTGGGGAACTTCCTGGCTCCCCTAAGCCAGCCCAGGAAGTCAGCTTCTAACTCTCAACCTCTCTCTGAATATGAGTGAGAAAGCGTGGAGCCCTGATTCTAAAGCTGTGGAATGAGGCTAACCTACAGATGGCAGAACGGAAAGAAAAGAATGAGTCCTCAGTGACAACATTGAGCCACTGGTGGTTTGAACTGACCCTGAAGTCTACCCCATTCCTCAATTACAGGTTTCATGAACCAATAATCTTCCTTATTGTTTAAGCTCATTTGAATCGTGTTTGCTGTACTTGCAACCAAAGGCAACTGTGTTCAGTAATGAATGATGATAATAGAGATGATTATTACAGGCTAAGTGCTTTGGAACCACAAGCTCACTGTGGTTATCTGCATTGTACAGGTGAAGATCCTGAGGCAGGGAAAGGTTGCATTTAAATAAGTACAAGTCCACGGAAATGGTTGCCAAAGGACTTTTATTTTGGCAGGCAAGATCTTAGTTCCCCCGCAGTGGGAGGGCAGAGTCTTAACCAATGGACTGTCAGGGAAGTCCCTCTAAAGTACTTTTAAACAAAGTTAATCTCAACAGTTCTATTCCAAGAAGGTAATTGGTCTGGAGCCCAAATCTGGTTTAAAAGCATGAGTAAGAAACTAGCAGAAGCCAAACCAAATAAGCAACTAATTGATACATTTTTGTTGTTGCCTTAGAGTTATACTGAGCTAACAAGAGAAGTAACAGGTATTAGGGCATGCCTAAAACGACTCAATGGGTCTCAGGCTGCCCAGCTATTCGCAGTTGCTAAGCAGAGAGCTTCAAGGCCATTTCTTGGGACTCCTGAGGGCAATGAACTATATACCTTTCTCTGGTCCACCGGAGACAAAGGCAGATGTGAAAATGTGCTCAAGGAACCTTGAGGATTTCAGCTTCATAGCTCCAAGCTTCAGTTATCTTATTGCCAGCCTCATCAAAAAAGCCGTATCTCAGAAACAACTAATCAAAAGATAATTGGAAAAAAATATCCCACTCATCAAAGCAACAATTTAAAACAATACCTTTCGCAGGAAAAGTGATAACGTTGTATGAGGAAAACCACAGAAAACAAAGCTTCAAGAAATGGAGAGGGACTTCCCTGGCAGAGAAGTGGTTAAGACTCTGTGCTTCCACTGCAGGGAGCTCGGGTCCCATCCCTGGTTGGGGGACTAAGATCTCGCACGCCTCCAGGCATGGCCACAATAAAAACCAAAAAACGAAATGGAAAGAACCTTATTTTTCTAGCTGGGAAGATTAAAAATGACAAACCTGGCAATCCTTTCCAAAGGTAAATCCAATTTAATGCAGCTCCAATAAAACTCGCAATGGCACGTTTTGGTACTGAAATTAAATGATCCTCAAGTTCATTTGAAAGAGGAAATTAGTAGCGATAACAAGGATTTTTGTAATAAAAAGGGACTTACCTATAAGATATTAAAATTATAATTACTAAAATTGTTTAGGGCTTATTAATTTTATAATTACTAAAATTGTTTAGGGCTTATTAAGTATAGGATAAACATACCAAAAGGATGAAAGGGAGTATAAATACATATATATTTTGACTCAACAATGTGAATTTCTAGGAACTTGTTCTGTGGAAAAGCTCATATGTGTACAGATAGTTAGTTGGATATTAAGGATGTGCATTGAGGTGCTATTTGTAATATGTAAAACTGCTAACAACCTTGATAAGGATATGTTACTTGCAGAAAAACAATGAGGGGTAAAAGTCACTAATTTTAAAAGTGAAAAATCTTAAAACGGTAGTAACAATATAAATCCATTGAAAATTCTAATGCCATTTCCTCCTCCCCTCCGAAAAATGCCATCAAGCAACCTTTCCTGATAAGACATTTTACATAAGGTTACTCTCCTGTGTCTAAAATGGGCCCCCAGAAAAGGAAGAGGGCATTAATCATCAAGCTCTAGAATCATCTCCCTTGGCAATGTCACACTGTCTGGAGTTGTCTGTCTGGGGCTGCTTGGCCAATTCTTCTGAGCTGGGTTCCCGAGGCCCTTTCACAACGACCTCCACCCGGAGCCCACCCCTTTGCCGCGCCTTCTTTAGCTGGAAGCAGTCGGAGACACGAGCGGGCGGCTCCACCCTCAGAGCCGAGGAAAGAAAACCAACTCGGTCCTGAGTTCCGGGAAATGGGACCGTGGGTCACCCCCACCTCCCACTGCGGCTCTCCCCTCACTGCCCATGAATCTGGCTGCGCCCTTCAGCCCCGCCGCCTCCGGGGACCGCGCGCGCCACGGGACGACTGCCAGACTCACCCTCGTCCCTCCTGAGGGTGTCCAGTCGGTCCTGTGCACAGTTCCAGGCAGACACCTCGGCCTCTCTTCTCGGACGACTGCTTTCCTCCCGGGCGAGAAGTCTGCGAACGCGAGACCCTGGGGGAAGCGCCGAGTCCCCGCGCCTCCTGCTCTCGGTGCGCGTGCCGCGCGCCCTGCGCTCCGCTGGCAGAGCGGGACTCACCCGACGCCGGCTGCCGCCGGCCGGATGTGTCCCTTCGAAGTCAAGCGACGTTCGGCTCACGGCCCCTGAGCCCGGCCCCTCCACGTGTCCCCCAATCAGCTTTATCGGCGGCTGTTTTTGCCCTGAGCCAGCTAAAGGACTGGGTGTCGGACAGGAAAGTCTGACCCGCCTTCTCGGAGCTTTCACAGGGGCTCTTGTAGCCAAACCCCAGGCTCAGGGTGCATTGGTTTCCTAGAACCTCTTTCCATCTGGTTCAGAGCAAAGGATCCTTCCTTCCTCCTGGTATTCTCCCCTTGCCCTTTCCACGCTCCCCCACCTTCCCCAAA